AGCAACAGATGGAGGAGGATTCCCAGTATACTCCAGTTGATAGACTGCAAATAGTGGAAGTGAGAATGAGGAACTGTCTCTCGTTTTCTACCTGTACTACTGTGGCCAGTTACCAAATGATAATAACTGACATGTAATGGCAGGAGTTTTTCTAAGGGTCAGTCTCTTGATCGAGTGTCCCTGAACCTGACTGATAATGGGTCATATGGTAAATAAAAGGGCTAGCCCTCATATTCATAAGATCCTGGGTTTGTCTATCTAATTGAAGAAATAGCAAATGGAGTTTGCTAGGAGCATGAAGGATGAGGCTTGAGCTTCTATTAGTAGAATAATTTATGGAATCTATGGAATAATTTTTAATCTTAGTTCCATAAAACCTTTAAAGATAATGAGAAATCTATCTGGGGAAGGATTTAGGCAGGTGAAATCATGTGGAACAAAGAGCCTCCAAAGGATCTTTCTATTACTTTAAAATAAGATTCGAGCCGCAGAAGGAGTTTGAAAGCCTTGGAACCCTGCGTAGATTTTTTTAAGAGTTCCCAAACTACATTTCCCAGGAGGCCTCGCGGGCAAGTTTCTGCACTCCACTAGGTCTCTTCGCCGCGAGGTAAGCTGGGAAATGTAGTGCTCCAAGCCGCCCCGCACGTGACGCGTGCGGAGGGACGGGGATAGACGGTCCGGTATCCCGGGAATCCACGTGTGAGCCGCCCTTTCCCCCGAATTTGGTTTGTGCCGGGCGGGGAGGACCCCATCATCTGACCCCGACTGTGAAATGAGCTGGCCCCGGGTTCAGTCGCCCGCCGGCACCGCTCCGGGAAAGTCCCGGTGGGCGAGGCCCCGCGGCGTCCCGGCCCGTTTCTCGGCAGCGGGGCGGGGTGGGGGAGAAGGTGCGAACAGGCCGGGGGCTCGGAGCTCGCGCCCTGTGCCCCACCCAGGCTGCGGCCGCGCGGGGAGGAAGCGCGTAAAGGTTGAGTGCAAAGTTTCCCTTTCTGCTTTCTCGTCAGAGCAGCCCCAACCGGCGGTGGGCTGCAATGCCGAACTTCAGTTTGTAGGGGCTCCGGAGCCGAAGGGGTTAAAGCAAGCGACTCCCTCCCCCCACCCCGCCGCCTCCTTCACAAGTCCGGCCGGCCAGCCATGGGCGGCCGCGATCACCTGTTCAAAGTGCTGGTGGTGGGGGACGCCGCGGTGGGCAAGACGTCGCTCGTGCAGCGATACTCCCAGGACAGCTTCAGCAAACACTACAAGTCCACGGTGGGAGGTGAGACGTCGCCGCGAGGGCGGGGTGGACCCCCGCGGCTGGGGAGCTGGGGGTTCCGTGGCCTTGTTCCTCGGGTCAGGAAGTAGGTGTCTGGGATCTTGGAGGGAGGACTTGCCGGGTGTTTGATCTGCACGTTTCTTTTGGGTTTTCCACAGTTAGGTTCACCCAGTCCGAGCTGACCGCCTGGAAGGAGATTGGGCGAAGGTGTGAAGAGGAGGAATGGGGAAGGGAGGTTGAGGAAATACGCAATTGTTGCATTTCTCGGGGGAATTGGGAACTCAGGTCTCCTGCAGCCTTCCTAGCGGTCACCCGCAAATCTCTGCGATCAGCCGAGGCCGCTGGGACCCCTCGAGGAGGCCTGGTTAGGTGCCAGCTGGGGCTCTTGGCCTGCCTCTCACAGGTAGCTGATGAAGGACTAGAAAGGTGCTGTCTGCCTTAAGGATCCTACCTTTGTTTTGGGGATGCCTGAGTGGGAGAGCCCCTGAGCCACACAATCTGATGCTCACCGAGGCTGATGAGCGGTGTGCATTTTTGTCCATGGATTGCTTAAATAAAGACAGCTAGAAATTATTCAAGGAATCTGACCTATCTTCCCACTCCCCTTTCTCTCAAGCTGGGGAGGGGAAAAAGGAAGGGAACACCAAGAAGTTCATTCATTTCTTTCTAGGGATGGCCTTGGGCTCAACCTTTTTCTTTTTCCCCAGAAGTAGAAATGTCTTTTTGTTAAGGTCTTTAGTTGGGAAGAGCTGGTGAAGGGGGAGAGTTAACAAACATTAAGAGAACTTTTTTTTAAGGAAAAAAAAAAACCTGCGCTAGGGGCGCCTGGGTGGCTCAGTCATTAAGTGTCTGCCTTCGGCTCCGGTCATGATCCCGGGGTCCTGGGATCGAGCCCCACATCGGGCTCCCTGCTCCGCGGGAAGCCTGGTTCTCCCTCTCTCACTCCCCCTGCTTGTGTTCCCTCTCTCGCAGTGTCTCTCTCTGTCAGATAAATAAATAAAATCTTTAAAAAAACAAACACCTGCACTAATGTAAATTTTGAAGATGGGTGCTGGTGATCCTTGTGGAATTTAAAAAAAATTAACAAGCATTAACATTGCAATGAAAACATCCTCTTGAGAACATCAGCAACATTTAGGGTTTGAAGTTTGAAAGACTATTTCTCCACCATTCTGCCCTCCACTCCTAAATAATATGAGAGCTCTTATTTCATGGGTTTGGTTAAAAGTGTTTCACTAAGTCTGCTTCTCCCTCTGACCCTCCTCCCTCTCATGCTCTCTGTCTCTCATTCTCTCTCTCTCAAATAAATAAATAAAATCTTTAAAAAAAAAAAAAGTGTTTCACTAATTAGTTTTTAGCAATTGCCCTAGTTTTCCTTTAGTAAAGAATAATGGCTCTGGCTAATTTTTTTTTTTTCAGTGTTTATTCTAAATTTCCCCTAGCTTTCATTTCTGTCACAGATGTGGAAAATGTACTTCCAAATCTGGGAAGTTACTCTGTTTCTCCTTCTCAAAAGGTTTCCCCCCTGGCATACTCTTTCACTTAGCTCCTGGAGTCTCAGCTTCTACACATTCGAACACAGCTCTCAAGCACCCTCCATACCGTGTCTTCTTCCTTGGAATCCTCTGGGACCTCTTCCCTGGACCCTATCTATTACCACCCAAAGTAATCCCTACAGCCTTGTGGAGGGTGTAGAATTCCCCCCAGTGTTTTTTTTATAATACAATTGGATTAGAAACGAACAGTGAAATTGAATGTGGAAGATGCAAAATCCACCACACTTACCTCATTTCCCCCTTTTGCCCTATCATCCCTTCCCCCTAGAAAACCCCCTGGAACCTTCCAGAAACTTTAACTTGAGATTAGGAGTTGTTTTCATAATTGCTCCCACCCACCTATCCCCAGCCTTAGGGACTAATAGTATCAAATACATTAGTTTGTCAAGAGAGTAAAAGCTGAAGACCCCTTCAGAGAGTGGTAATGAATTATCTGTGCCAGAGGCACCTGGAGGCATGGCTGCCCCAGTCAGAAGACCATGTGAATCTTGATCTTGGGGTCGTGAGTTCAAGCCCCACGTTGGGGGTAGAGTTCACTTAAAAAATAACAATAATAATAATAATGATAAAATTAGAAATGTTTTAAAAAAGAAAGAATTGTCTGTTCCACACTTAAACCGTGCGTGTGGGCTCATCTCAACCCACTGAGAGTTTAAAAATAAATAGATACATAGGATTGGAGTTGTGTGTCTCTAGGGTTATAACTGCATATTTGATCTGAGCTTATTCATGGATTTTTTTAAAGGTAAATTTTATTCAATTGTACATGTATTTTCAGTGGATTTTGCTCTGAAGGTTCTCCAGTGGTCTGACTCAGAGATGGTGCGGCTCCAGCTGTGGGATATTGCAGGTAGGCTGGGAAGATGGGATAAGAACCAGGGAAAAAATTTTGGTTTAATCAGCAAGCTCTCAGAAAAAGTGGGGTAGCAAAACCAGAAGTTTTTTGTTTTTTTTTTTTTAAGATTTTATTTATTTATTTATTTATTTGAGCGCGAGAGCAAGAGTGGGAAGAGGGGTGGAGGGGCAGAGAGAAGCAGGCTCCCCACTGAGGAAGGAGCCCGATGCCAGGCTCCATCCCAGGACCCTGGGATCATGACCTGAGCCGAAGGCAGACACTTAACCGACTGAGCCACCCCGGCACACCAAAACCAGAAGGCTTTTTACTGGAGCTGGAATGATGGAGTTGTTCAGAGGACACATAAGCTGAGTGGATGTAGAGAGTTTGTAAATATTTTCTGTAGATGTTTTGCCCTGGATAAATGTAGAGCCCTTTGTCCCTGGGTGGAATGGCTGGCAAGGTGATAGATTGTCCAGACCGTGGGTGGGTGCTCTCACAGCAGAGGGAGGGTGCTTTTTCCAGCGTTTCAGGTGACCTTGGGGAGAAAGAAGATTCCCCAGAAAATAAAAATAATAATAGTAACAGGTGACTTTTACTATGTGCCAAGCACTTTCCTAAGCATTTGAGATTCAATGACTCGTTAATCTTCATCACAACCTTGTGAGAAAAGCTACTGCTTCCATCCCCGCTCTACAGATGAGGAGTCTGAAGCACTGAAAGCTTCCATTGCCCAAAGTCCTACAGATAGTACATGACAGAGCAGGGATTTGGACTTGGGTGGTTTAGGTGCAGAATGTGGACTCAGCCACAGTGCATACCGCCCTCCCCCACGAGGAAGGTGGAAAGGGCAAGGTGTCGGAGGGGGTTATGATACTGGTTCTCAGTATCACTTTCTCAAGGGCTCCCTGCTTTCTTCCCAGGGCAGGAGCGCTTCACCTCCATGACTCGACTGTACTATCGGGATGCGTCAGCCTGCGTTATTATGTTTGATGTTACCAACGCCACGACCTTCAGCAATAGCCAGAGGTGGAAGCAGGACTTGGACAGCAAGCTCACCCTGCCTAATGGAGAGCCTGTGCCCTGCCTGCTCTTGGCCAACAAAGTATGTGGTCAAGTCTAGGAAAACGGCCCCTAGCCTCTCTCTGTGGTCAGAGAGTAAGCATGTCTAAAACGCTTTCTGATTCCGGGCATCCATTTCTCCCTTCTCAAATTGGCAAACCTCATCTCTACCTTCTTTCAAGGGATGCTGGGGCTCTCTTTGGGAAGAATGTTGGCCAGATTTTAGATGCCAGTGTTCTTAGCCACTGGTGGAAAGGTTTTACATCCAGAAGTATCTGAGCAGTGTTCCTATTCTCCAGAAGTTTATGGTATTGCCTTTTATGTACTCTCTTTGCCAGTGTGACCTGTCCCCTTGGGCAGTGAGCCGAGACCAGGTTGACCGGTTCAGTAAAGAGAATGGTTTCACGGGTTGGACAGAAACATCAGTCAAGGAGAACAAAAATATTAATGAGGCCATGAGGTGAGTAGCTCCTGTTGTTCTGGGGTTAGGCACACAGATTCACCCACCTGCTGCCGCCACGCCCCTGGGACCTTCTTTTCCTGTTTCTGAGCAAACAAGAGCAGGCTGAGCCACTGGAATGCCAGCTTCTGAAGGTCAGGGATGCCATCCTTTCTCCTGAGATAATGGGGGGACGAAGGGGCATTTAAATTTCATGGCTTGACTGAATGCCATCTGGTGATAAGACAGACAGTGTCTGCCATGTCTCCCTTTCTTCCCTCCAGTTTATCAGTCTTTTGTTTGTTTGTTTTTTAGAGTCCTCATTGAAAAGATGATGAGCAATTCCAGAGAAGATATGTCTTTATCCACCCAAGGGGACTATATCAATCTACAGACCAAGCCCTCCTCCAGCTGGGCCTGCTGCTAATAGTGTCTGGCTTGTTTTCCCTCCTATGTTTAGGAGGTCTTTTCATCTCTTCCCTTCGGATGCCCACCCAGCAATCTTATTAATCTTATTAAGTACGTTTGGACTGTCTCTTGCCAGTTATCCAGGAAGGAGGACCATCGCCACTAAGGAGAGACCTGGGACTCGTGTGCCTTTCTGCATCTCGCAGGTTCCTACTTGCTGCCGGCTCCCATGGCTCAGTACCTTCTGTATAAGAAAAATCACCTTATCCCTCATTTTGTGACCCAGGATTTTGTGGGGAGCATTAGAAATCAGCACCTGTATTGTAAGGATCCTAATTGCCACCTGTTTTCGCGTTTCTTTTTCCATCTGACGGATGTGGATATCTCAGTCTGATCTGACTTCAGATTTCGAGGAAAATGAGAGCAAAGGGCATTTCCCAAATTCATCATAGGTTATTGCTTTCAGATTCTTTGTGTCTTGGACTTTGAATTTAAACCTCTGATTCTGAGATGGGCAAGGAGTGGGGCTGGATATCCATGGGTTCTGGGTCACAGGAGGTAACCCAAAAGTCACTATTTTTGAAGCTTCTAAAGTCATAACTGGCTTTCTCTTGTCTTGGCTTCAGGAATAGTCAAGCTTTTAAACTACCTGTTGTGTGTGATGAGAGTGTTTCTTTCCCCAAAGAAACAATTGTCCCATTAGGGTTTTCTAGTATCTCCCTACCGGTGGGGTGGGAGCGGGGTTCACAAGGTTTCTGGGTTGATATCTTGATGCCTAATGCTGCGGGGTGACATCACTTGGCTGTGGTGCCCTGAAATAGGTCTGTTCCTTACCGCCCTGGGAGTCTGAATGGAAGAGGGAGAGGTTAACAGAGCAAAATCCTGTGGGGCCGCTTGCTTCTGAGCACTTTGGGTGCCTAGCACTTACCAGCCATAGGAAACAAATTTTATGTACAGACCTTTGCCTGAGTGGGGAGAGTAGATAGAAAATCATTAAGTAATTTAAGTGCTAAATCGGGTAGGGTTTTTAGTATCACATCACTTCTCGACAGCTTCATTTGTTGAATTCTCACAGGATGGTGATTTATAACCTACCCAAAGTTATGAATATTCTTCATGAACTCAGAGACCTAGAGTTCTTTGAAAGACACTTATTTTAAATGTGTGTCTTAAGTAAGTGGTTCCTGAATCAACTTATCAGAACCACCTGGGAAGTTTATTAAAAAAATTTTTTTTAAGATTTTATTTATTTATTTGACAGAGAGAGACAAAGCGAGAGAAGGAACATAAGCAGGGGGAGCGGGAGAGGGAGAAGCAGGCTTCCTGCGGAGCAGGGAGCCCGATGTGGGGCTCGATCCCAGGACTCTGGGACCATGACCTGAGCCGAAGGCAGACACTTAATGACTGAGCCACCCAGGCGCCCCTATTAAAATTTTTTAAAATAAAATGTGTACGTTTTAAGATTTCTGGGTCCCATGGGCGCCTGGGTGGCTCAGTTGGTTAAGCGACTGCCTTCGGCTCAGGTCATGATCCTGGAGTCCCGGGATCGAGTCCCGCATCGGGCTCCCTGCTCAGCAGGGAGTCTGCTTCTCCCTCTGACTCTCCCCCCTCTCATGTGCTCTCTCTCATTCTCTCTCTCAAATAAATAAATAAAAACCTAAAAAAAAAAAAGATTTCTGGGTCCCAAACTCAAGCCTCCTGAATCACAATTTCCAGGGGTATGGTGTGGGAATGTATAGTTGTTGTTTTTCAAAGCCACCCAGGTCATTTGACCAGCCTGGTTTGGAAAACATTGCTGGAGAATTTGGTAAAGATGCAGAGACCCAGGCATTCCCTGAGTAAATGATCCTGGGTTTCTCTATGCTCTATTTGCTCTCCAGGTGATTCTGCTATACCCCAGACTTTGGAAACTGCTCTCCTAAGCAAATGATCAGAGGCCAAATATCAGACAGAGAACAGGAGCCAGGCCTTCAGTGGTGGTTGGTTTGTCTGTTTTTAATGCCAGTGACTAACTTTTGCACAGTGTTTTAAGACCTTGAAGTTCTCTTTTGTATTACCCTTTTCAAATAGGTTTTTACTACAATGATTCTGAAGATAAGTGGAATAGCAAATTCCCTTTATGTGAAAAGAAAACTGATTTTTATTTACTGGCTTAAACCTCTGCAAAGTCACAAATAAAGGCAAAATAAGTCTTGTATTCATGGGAGTTATTGGCTTTTAATGTGAGTTTATTAAAATGCTATTTTATACTGATAATTTAAGAGTATTAGGGAAATGGAGACTTTATTATTTATCTAATTTTTTTTAAGATTTTATTTCTTTATTTGACAGAGAGCTCAAGCAGGGGGAGCGGCAGGCAGAGGGAGAGGGAGAAGCAGGCTCCCCGCTGAGCAGGGAGGCCAATGTACAACTCCATCCCAGGACCCTGGGATCATGACCTGAGCCAAAGGCAGACGCTTAACTGACTGAGCCACCCAGGCGCCCGTTTTTTTAAATACCTTCTTTAAAAATGAAGGTAAATGTTATTCTATCTATTAATTTACTAGTATCAACTGCCTAATACTAATTCAGTACTTGATACGACATTCCAAATACTGCTTGGAAATGTGACCTTTGTGAAAAATTGAGTATGTTTTCTTTTCCTGTGTGTTGACTCAGGATTTACCTGCCTTTTCAAGCATTGCTGGAGGCAGGCCCTTCTGGATTTTCTCTCGTAAGTGGTGAGCATTATAGGGCTGAAACTAATTAAAGAAGAAATTGAAAATATAACTAATTCCTCTTTATGTCCCTATCCATAAAGAAAAGGGAAAACAATTGAAGATTTAAAAAAAAAGAGGGAAATATTTACATGATTAGAAATACAATTATACAAAAAATAATTATATCCTGTCATTTGGATGCTACGTCTTGGTACAGTTGTTTGGAACATGAATATTGTTGTAGCCCTTCCCTAGAGAAGGTTCCATATTTGAGACAAGATGCCTCTCCAGCCACTCAGCTGGTCTTTGGACAAAAAGAAAACATACGCATTTCCTGCAGAGTGTTTTTAAGAGACCCAAGGAAGGCCTGAGAACATAGCTGTGGGATTGTGACTGCCCTGGCTTTGGACTTTTTAAAAAAATTTTTTTTAAGATTTATTTGAGAGAGAGAGCATGAGAGGGGGTGGGGAGAATCCTCAAGCAGACTCCCCGCCAGGTGCGGAGACTGATGCGGGGCTTGATCCCAGGACCCCGAGATCATGACCTGAGCTGAAATCAAGAGTCAGACGCTCAACCGACTGAGTCACCCAGGCGCCCCTACCCTGGCTTTGGACTTTGAACAGAATAGCTGAGTGACCAAACAAGTGGAGAAAAAGAGACCACAGGTCAAGGAAGGCCCCTCCGTAGTAAGTGATGATTTGCACTTTTGTTACTACTAATGAGCCAGAATTACTCCCAAGATGATTTCCTGAATTCATTTGCCTTAGCTATTCTAAGGTATGTTTGGGTTCCTCATTATGTCCTATCATCTCCAGCGGTGCCTTGGTGGCTCAGTCCATGAAGCGTCTGCCTTCAGCTCAGGTCATGATTCCAGGGTCCTGGGATCAAACCCCACATTGGGCTCCCTGCTATGCAGGGAGTCTGCCTCTCCCCACCTTCATGCTTTCCCTCTGCTAGTGCTCTCTCGCGCTCTCTCTCAAATAAATAACTAAAATCTAAAAAAAAAAAATTTCTCTGTCCTATCATCTCCAGATTTAACTCTTCTTTAAGTGGTCAGTCTTCTGTCCTCAGGACACTGTCCCATCTAACATGAGGCTTTTCCTGTCTCTGTCCATTTGTAAGCAGTAGTCTGCTTTTGACATGATCTAAGGCTATGGTTAGAAGGTATAAATATCTCCATGGTATTCTTTTTTTTTTTTTTTAAAGATTTTATT